TCCAAGTCTTTTCGTATCGCTTCATGTGTTACAGGTCTATTATGCGTCTTCCATCCTGCTCCTTCATCCTTGTGCTCAGCTAGCCTTACCAGATATCCAACCTGCCTTCATGCTTTGTGTTTTGTGCATTATTTCTTCTTCTTGTGCTTTGCCCCTATCGCTAATTTACCTGCCTTTGTTTACGAACTCAGCTGCCACGTTTACTGTGGCCTTGCATTCCTGTGATTCTCACGAAAAATGTACTTGCGTGTCGATGCTTCTTACGGAAAATTAACGGCCTCCGCGTTCTTCATACCGATGTACCACGTCCGTAGGGATGCTTACATTTACCTTACATGCTTTCTTGATTCTCGTCGTTCTGTTACCTGCTTGCCCAGTTATTTTCTATGAGGTTAGGGTATGTGTCAACTGGTTGTGTCCATTGCTTTTCTTGTATGTTATGCTCAAGGGTCTCCACGTACATGTGTACTGTTTGTTTATGCGGTATCCTTGGATTTTCATATCTCTTCATATTGGTTCATGTGTTGCAGGTGCATTGTGCGCCTTTCCTCCTACTTCTTCGTCCTTGTGCTGCTCCAGCCTTAGCAAATATCCAAGGTGACTTGATGCTTTGTGTTCTGTACGTTATTTCTTATTCTTGCGCTGTGTTTCTATAGATGTCTGTGTTGTGTGTCTAATGGATATGATTGCCTGTGCCTTCTCGTTGTTGCGCTCTATTTCTGAACATCTCCAGTTTATTTGGCATCAGTTTCTCCCTGTTTAGACACATAGCTAAGACATAAAAATATTACAAGGGTATCACATGTGACTGGAAGCAACGCTTGCCACTGGTATCTAAATCCTCCCATACCAGAGGCCCAACCGTATTATAACAAGTCAGTGTCGTGCTTCTACACAGTCGTTTGCATCCTTCATTATATATTGTACGAAGATTTAATTATTAACACGCTTCTGAAATTATAGGTTTCAGGATCAGCACTTCCCAATAGATTTGCCTCCTTCATCACCAACGCAGCTACAAGAGGACGAACAAATTGTCATAGAGCACAAGTCACTTGATGAGCTAAATGCACTTGATCCGTATGAGTTCCCTGTATGTCCTATAGACCATTCAGCATTGGATTACTGATACAAAACAATGCATGTTAAAATATATCTAATTTTGGCCTATTTGTTTCCACAGGAAACAGGCTTTCACTGCATAGTCGCAATTACGGCTGTGCCAGGTGACGATTCATGGTGGTATCTAGGCTGTCGAGGATGCAAAAAATCAAGTCCTGGTCAGGTCGGCGGTGCGCCTTGGTGTGGTGCTTGCAAATCCTCAGATTTTATGCCAAGGTAAACCTACTTTCTTAACTCTTCATACACACCACGCTGCTGTTTAGTCCTAAGGTTCAATGACACTCTTCACCATTCATTTTCATTACCCATTTCACAGATACAAATTGACCTTCGCTGCGAGAGATGAAACTGTAGAAGGTCAGTTCTTCTGCTTTGACGGTATTGCTCAGCAGATCGTTAAGAAAAGCTACGAGTCTCTCTTTCACCTTCCTGATAGAATGAGTGGCACACCTCCTGGGCTAACGGCTATTGTCGGAAACAAGTATACATTTGCTGTAGCCCTAACGAGCGAATCTTACTATTCAAAGCAGACAAGAGAATACCAGGTCAAGTATGTTATGGAAGATTTCTAGAAACGCCTGTTCACTCCAAGGTCACTAGCAATTGAAGGATCCAGCAAGATTCCTCCTCCACCAAAACCCTTGATGGTCATACCACCACAACCACCATCACTTCAAAGATGTATGCAACACATCGTCCTTGATGATAGATGCGCCACCTGCCGAGTCTCCTACTCCAACAAAACCAGCTACTTTACCACCTACTGGACAAACTATACCGTCCACAGCTAAAAATTTAGATGATTAGGCCTCATCTACCAAGGTGATCTCCTTAACGCATATAATGACATTGTAGGGCCTAATTACTTTTACTACAAAAGCTTCTCGCTCAAAGTCGAGACTATCATTTACGAGACAATCGTGATGTCTCGCCGATTCTCACAATCATCAGTGTGTCTCGGTGGAACTGAACTCGCTCATACCTCGCTTCATCTCGATGTTGCCGAGCATGTGTCTCATATCACAAATGTGTACATACAATTTGCTAACTCATCCGTGTTCTTGTTATACTTTGTTAAGTCTATACCTAAATCGCCACCGTGTAACAATGCCCGTGCGTGATTTGCTTGAATGGTAAGCGGTTGATATAATACCATAAAACAGATGGTTTGGTCCGAGGGATGGTTAGCATATAGTATCTCTGTGCTTTGCTGCACTTTTAGGTTCGTTTCTAAACTTGCCCATTGTTTAACAATGATCACATAAAATAGCTTGAATGGTAGATGGTTTATATAATCCGAGAGATGATTTGGTCCGACCCTCCGAGGGATGGTTGACATATGGTATCTCCGGGAATTAGTGTTCATACCTTGAAAAGTTTTGTGAAATTCAACCAAGACATCTGGACCTCTTTCTTGTGTCGCCTTTACTGTGACAATCGGTCATGCCTTGCCATTTCCTAACTCAATTACTAATTACTTTACCACTTTCATTTTCGAACTATCTAACTGTGTGTTGTTCTTTTCCCATGAGTTACCTATTTTACGCTATACTGTCAAAATTTGCGCACTCACAATATATGAAAAAAAAATGTTCTTGCTATATTCCTATTAGACTCAGTAAGTCACTAAAGATTAAATTACTACAGATTATTCTTACTGCTGGAACATTAGTAGGCTGCTGACCTTTGTAGTGTAAGATCGTCATGCGAATCATGAATAGCACAACATGAAACCATAAGGTGGATGCACATTGATAAATTTTAATCCTTGTACATGCAACCGTCCTTTTCTTCTGGTGACATGAAAGTAGTAGTATTGTGTAATTGTGTTTATTTTATCACCAGAATTAGTATTGCTTCTGGTGATCTTATATCACTACCCCACTGTTATGTATTAGTCTATTGTGCAGTACAGCCTTTGAATATTATAGATGCCTGCTATATTTAAAGTACTACAGCTGACACTTACCACTGATTAATTAATCAAACATTACTTGCCGGTTCGCAATTTCTCATGCTATGTTTCCCAGCCCAGCAAAGTCGTCAACCCATGTTGAAAAGAAAGCTGCAAAGAGGAAGTTGTTTGAGGAGCAGTCTACTCATGAGGAGGTTTGTCCTCTTTGTATCCACAAATCATATCTTTTTCCCTCTAAAGTGTACACCGCACATACTGATGCTAGACCTGCATTCGCACACATAACAAATGTGAATACAGACTTCCTGTTAACTATGCTTAGCGACCTTGATGACGTACTTTTCCTATAGGATCAAACAACCTTCGCTGAATCTGCTCATCAGACCTCTCAGGAACTCAACATAGACGTCCAGATCACCGGACGCGATAAGGATACACAGGAACAGCATCCGGAGGACCACCTAGACAGTCGAGCAAAAAGGTATTAAACACTAACTATGAATCGGAGATTCACATTTTTTGCCAGACTGTTTAAAGTGATGAGTTAGAACATAAGGATATAATCCTTCTGTGCAACTTCTCAACAATAATAAACATGCTCTGCTTCCAGGCCAAGAGGCCAGGATACTAAGCCACATGCCAAGTCTGGTGGACACAAATCATCATCAGGCAATCAGAAAAAGTGAAACGGGTTTTTAGATACATAATGCCATAGTTTTATAAAGTCACCTTCTTCAACGCTGCTATTGTCACCTCAACCTATCTGATGTTTTGTACAGCTTGGAAAACCCCTTGGTGCATCGCCTTGTGCATGGCCGCCACAGCGCCTACAGCCAAGCTCATCTTCAACACAATATACATTGGTATTTACAACGGCGGTTCAAACCTTTGCTGCCTAGGTTACTATACCGCGACGCAATCTGTGCGCTTTTGGACCTCATCGTCAGCATTCTTGTATAGTCTAGGATCCGACTATCTAATGTTATGAAGCTAGGACTCATAACTGCTGCTAACTGCACTGTACCAAACTCTATGCCAAGCTATAACCTGTCTGGACATATGGCGTGCACTGTTGTGGTGTGTCAGCAACACTACCCTAGCCTTCCAACTCGAAACATTACCGGCTTCATGACATCCATCCATGTAATATAAGTATACTTTGTACCTATGCGCTGCATTTACCAGTACTTACTATACTTACCTGTACCATTTAATCGCCGGCGCGCGCGACGTACTAGTACTACATCAACGTGAGGGCTGTCGCCTGTCGTGGTCGGACCTACAGCAGGCTATGGGTCGTTACAGAGCTTGGTAGCCAGGAGAGGCCTCCAGACAGGCCCGTAGGCTGCAACCACACTACTTTTTTACTCCAATACGCAAAATTTACGTACCATTGCAATTAAGATTAAGATAGAAGAATTTGACCACAAATTATGCAGACACCAGAAATATATGGAAGCATCACGACACGAAGTCTTCCTGGCTTTTGAGATTTCATCAATGGCCCAGGCTTACCAGAAACGCAGCTAAAATATGCAGACACCTCTTGACCTGTGATTCTGTGAATGCATCGCTTATATAAAGAAAACATCAGCCATGCTTCCGTTAATATTTCCCTGTCTTCTTGTCAATATACACAAGAGGGTTAGCATGACACTGTAAAGCCAGATGTAATACGAGTTTTTCCAGACTACCACACTACTAGATCATATTGGCAGCTATCTTATGCGCTGAGCTGAGCATACGTACGGTACATTTACAGTGCTACACATTATGTGCCACGAAAAAAGTTTCTAAGTGGTGGTAAAACACACACAAATCATGCGCCATTTCTCGATCAACTCCTTCCATAGGTAACCAGAAAAGAGAATTGTGAAATTGAACACCTCTTCCATAAGTAAACATGAGAAGACATATGATGTGTATCAGTGTATGCATTCTTAGGATCGGAGAAGACCATGCCTTACTTATCTGCCAACTGGTTGTGCAGGAATTCGAGAACCGAGAGGCGCTGCAAAGGTACATAATGAAGGTTAGTCTGGAACAACAGATACAGGCATGTGGATGAGAATAGGAATAATGATGATCAAGAATAGCAACCCGTTGTTCAAGGCTAGCTTGTTCAGAATCCAGCTTCAGCTTCTCAAGACATTGAATTGCTTCCTCAAAACCCTCTACTGCGGTGCTTTCATTCCCAAGATTTCTATCCACATCCGCAACTTTGGCAAGAGAAGTTGCTAGATCAATGACCTATACCCAAGAAATGCAAATTAAAATACTATTACACTTAGCACACATACCTAGAAGCAAACTACGCCCACACCCTGGATCATGTGTCTGTTCTAAAGCAGCAGATTAGCTCTAATACAAACAGCTAAAATCAAGCTTGCCTATTCAAACCAAGGTATTCTAAAAAAAAAGTTTAATGAACAGCATAATCATGTTTCCTGTAAAATTAAAAACGGGAAAGAAAAACTAGGGGCTCTTGGCAAAGGATTTGACCAAACATCTGCAGCGAAGCAGGATTATCATACTTTGATTGAAAATTATTTATTTAGGCCATAGGTTCAAGAAGAATACTGTACAAAAGCTTGCCACTACCGAATTACGTCTAATTACCATTTTCTCTAGAAGTACAGTAAAACTTCTATCTTACCAATTATTCCAGATCATTAGTTTGTTGCTCCCTTCTTTGCCCTTCCCTATCACATCACTTCCATTGTAGCATTGCACAGATGAACTAGATATCTATGTGACAAATTGTAGTGCAAGATAACAGAGTTCCTGTCCCATGTCACCGAACAGTTTACGTATACTATAACTCCCTGTCTCCCACACAACATACCTGGGAAGCCACTGCTGAGTTCTCTTTTACAGCACTTCTGCGAACATCCAATGAACGGGCATAATAGTTCCTTGCAGATTGGAGGTCACCATCATAGTAGCGAAGGTCACCAATTTTGTTTAGTGAAACAGAGAGAGTATGAACCAGCTGCAGATGAATGTAAAAGATAAATTAGCAGATAGTAATTTCGATGTTATTATGTTACACTAAAATTGAATACAACCTCAAGATCTTTTGTGGGGAGTTTCGAGAGTATCTCAGCACTTTCTTCATAGTATGTGATTGCTGAAGGAGCATCTCCCAAGGTCCGACTGAAATCACAGTACAATGGCAAGGATGCAGTGTTGAATGAATTCAGTGACTAACTGATTAACAAACTTAGCAAAATAAGATCCAAGTGTCAGAGCTGATTCTTTTGACAAATATTGAATAAAGTACCAAATATATATGGAGAATGAGGCATGCTATTACAATAGTGATCAGATTAAACATTCACTAATGACAAGTAACAAAATATAGTAACTAAAGAGATTCAGAGACATAGATATTGTAGGTCCCGTGTGAGTTGAACAAGGTAGCTAGACATGCTGATCAGGATCATGCTAACTTGCTATTAGCCTACATCAGCCTGTAATTAGCACCAACATGATGCTTGGTATAGGGAACACTTTTTTTTTCATTTAGTGAAATACCATCCAAGAAGGGCAGGCCTGGGGCAAGCGGTAGAGTCTTACCGCCTGTGACCGGAAGGTCCCGGGTTCGAGTCGCGGTCTCCTCGCATTGCACTGGCGAGGGTAAGGCTTGCCACTGACACCCTTCCCCAGACCCCGCACGGAGCGGGACCTCTCTGCAATGGGTACGCGCTTTTAGTGAAATACCATCCAAATAGGTTGCAAGCAGCCGGTGGCTGACAAAACTATCAAGCTAGAACCCTACTAAAAACTCCTAATTCAATCAATTCATCCGTCCACAATCCACACAACTAATTAATGCTGAAAATTGGATCATACCCACTGTGCTGTTCAAAAGTAGATAGTAAAAGGAACAGTGAGACTCTTCATTTCTTCAATGGAAAAGATTTCAGCTTGTTAAAACATACCAGCAGTCCCCAAGCATTCCTAATACAGCTCCAAGCTGTGAACATAGGTCTAGATTATCTTCTGAAGATTTCAACTCCTCCCTGATGTCGTCTGCACACATAGTGAGCCTTGATTTTGCACTTTCAATGTTCTGGGCGTGAAAAGCCTGGAGAAGCAAAAGTAAGGGCATTGTTGTAACAACATTATTATAGATAAATCCATGAATAATAGAGAACGATTAACTGCCCAAATTTTACAGGTTTCAGAATCTAAAGTTCAACCAACATAAGAGCCTAAAGCGGTTGACTTAATTACTGACCCTCATAGCTTGCTGCACCAGAAAAGCTCCTCTCTCCATCGAAACATCTTCATATATGACTTTGTCCTTGAAATCTGCTGCTTCCACATCCCCTGTAGCATGTGACCGCTTGATTCTGGCGTGGCCATCAATGAACCGATCAACAAGCGCTTGAAGCTCGGCATCAGGCTCAACCCCCTCTATATCGGCACCACACAGCGGGCAGTCCTTAAAGCGTGATATACATGCCCTGCCAATGGAAATCCAATAAGAACCTGAAGGAATCAAATATGAAGCGCATGCAGAAGCACAAGACACACTTGCAGAATTTATGGGCACACGGCTTGCATTTGCTGCTTTCATGGAGCAGCGCCTGGCAGACAATGCAGCTGAGCGGACCCAGCTTGAATGTGTTGGAGTCGTAGCCAAACGGGCACTTTGCCGGCACCATGCGAGGATCATCGGTGCCCTTTTCTTCACCGCCATCGGTACTTTCCTTGTGCTCACTACCATGACCCTTGCCGGTGACAGGGCACACACCAGTGATGCTCTTGTCAGATGTTGCTGCGGGGCATAACCCAGCGCTGCTCTTATCGACGGCTTTCACAGGGCATACACCGCCACCAGTGGTAGCTCCTGCAAAAGGGCAGCGCGAGCTCATGGTATTCGATCGTTTCCCTTCCCTGCAGAAAATGGGACAAGGAACATGAAGTTGCATATTTGGAACACAAAATTATCATATGACAGCGCAGCTGAAATTCTATATGTGTGTATGTATGCGTTGGTAGAACATCGCTGTCGGCAAGCAAAGCATTGATCCGTTTGGTGATGGTTGGGTCGGTCAGTACCACAAAGGCATAGCAAGGCTACTACATGTAATGTTATGGAAGGAAATTGACAAAGCACGGCATGAAAACTCAAGGTGCAGTAAATTTGAAGTTGGCTACACTACAGAGTTGTTTGAGCATTGGAGCATATGTGTTCCAACTTCCAAGCTAACGTGATAAGTTTTGCTTCGATTTCAGCCAGATTCAACAAAATCGAAAGGGGGTTTGCCTACTCGCCTTCCTGTGCGCTGTATGAAGCTCCACGAGGGCCTGGGACGGCGAGTTCGCGCGGCGGCCTGGGTGGAAGCGCGCCCAGTCCTCGGCGAGAGGTGAGGTCGCGCGGTCGGCGCGGGCGGCGGCGGCGGGATCGACGCGACAGCAAATTTGGGGCACAAGCAGAAGCAGAAAGAAAGAGAGGTGCGTGAGTGGTAGGGAAGACCTGGATAAGATCGCATCCAACGGTGCCAGGAGTGCCACGTGGGATGATCCAGCGACCACACGCTGCGCCACACCACCAGGAAGAAGGAAAGAGGATTATCATCAACTTAACAATAATTGTTGGTGAATTAAGCATCACCACAAGTGCGCTATCTATATTGACATTGCTCACTGTACAAGCAGCGCACACATCACAGACTTCAACTTCATATCTCATTCATTCATGCACAAGGTAAAGAAAGAAATGCAACTATCTGCTGTGACCACCTCTCATTCTCTATATGATCTGATCTGATCTGATCCAGAAAGAAACAAACGCTTCGACCTCCCTACATTATTATCCCACACAGCTGGTTTCAGTTAATCCCCAGACCTACCTACCTCCCTTTTGCAACCTATGTGCTACTCTCTTTTTTTCATTCATGTACACTACATACATGCAGTCATGACTTCGCCGCCACCGCCACGGAGGCAGTCTCCGCGCTCGCATTGGCTGGGAGCAGCGCCGCGGGGGATTGGATATGCGCGATCTCTAGCAGGATCTTGTTCAGGGACTGCGGCTTTGAGAAGAAGGGGCAGTGGTCACCGCCCTTGATCTTGAAGATGCCGTCGGGAGGGTTCTCGCGGACCAGCTTCTCCTGGGCGTCTGGCGACAGCATGTGGTCGTCGAGCGTCTGGATGAAGTAGCGGCGGACGGTGCCGTAGTTCTCTGGGGTCAGGGAGAGCTTCTCCATGATTGGGGCTAGAGGGATAGGCCTCATGGACACCGCGGCTAGCGCCATATCCTGCATATTATGAAGCATGTGCAAACTTGTTAGCAAGTCAACTGGACATACATGCTGGCATGACAATGCTGGATACAATACATCTTTTAACAGGTTCCGGTTGCATAATGGTAGAACACAATGTACCTTAGAAGGCGTTTGGTTGAAATAGAGCCCCTTGATCTGCTGTTTATCGAACATAAGCCCAGTAGGAGGCTTGTCCTTTCCATTTCCATAAACTAAAAACTGTGATTCTTGCAAGAAAACATCTGCCGACCGGAGCTGTGAAATGCAGGTTAACGTGAGCTCCCATTGAATATGCACATGGAAATGTAAATATATAAAGAGAGATTTCATACTTCCTCCGAGAACACATCAAAGGGCCGCTGACCATCCTTCACCATCGTAGCAGTAAGAAACACCGCCTTTGAGATCTTTTTGGGGTACTGCTCCAATGCATATGACACACTTGCACCTCCGCAACTATGGCCAACTAAAATGACCTGCATTATCGTCAAGCACAAACACAGTGCTCAGAGCTGAATTTGTTTCCTCCCAAAAATAGATATACATAGAACAGCAGATGTAACAGCCACCTTATCATCTTCAGGAAGTTTATCAAGGTAATCAATCAATGGCTTGGAGTAATCTGCTAATGTAGCTATGCTGTTTGTATCAGTATGGTCTATGCCAGAACCTGTGAGATCTAAGGCAACAGGATCTAGACCAGCTTCCTCCAAGTGTGAGATGGTCTTGTACCAACACCAAGCACCAAATCCTTCTCCATGAACAAGGACAATTTTCTTTGTTTCCAAATTCTCCAGAACAATTGGGGCCTGAAAGTATATACCAGCAGCACCATTAAAAATCTTTTCTTCTAAGAAACCACAAGATAATGTTTGTATGAAAATGTTGACAAGGCTAAGGACAGAGAGATAAAACTACTCTTAGGTATTTACAGGTCGGGGCAACAATAACCGTAACTAGCAAACAAGTCATAGATGAGACAAAGTTTTGGGTATGGGACCATGCTGTTAAAGCAGTTAGGTTACTGCTGAGGTGCTAGCATTGTCTTGTAGCCCCAATGCCATATAAATTTCTCCATGAATAGACAACCATGTCTTGTACTTATGTATGACAACAGTTGCACACAAAGATACCTTTTGAACATATAGTGGCATAAGACAACGATATATAGGCTACTAAATAATCCCATAATCTTTAGAGAATTAGCAAGTGTATGAACATTTGAAGAAAAAAAAAATCCCTGTTATGCTTTAGGTGAAAAGCATGCAGAGCATAAGAAAAGGCATGCCCAGCATACCAAGAGAACTGGATTTAAAAGAAACCAGAACTATCTTGGCTGGCACAGGGGAAAAGCAACTGCACCGCCATTTTATTGTGAACAAGATCAAGGTTCCAAACTGTAGCAAAGTATTAGGCATGTATGCTTACAATGACATCTAAAGACTCAAGCTAGGTTATTTAGTTTTGAAGTATATATATACTTGAACAGGGCATTTAGCACAGGAATACAGCACCAAGCCAGATGGAAACACAACTTCCTATCCAGTATGGTATAATTCCACACGATGGAACTGCCTTGAAGTTCTAACATGTTCCAGAACCGGGAACACCAAGTTGTTATCACTTAACTATTGGCAAAAAGTGACTATTCAAATACAACTCAACTTTACCTAACCAAGGAAGCTACAGAGAAATAATTGAAAATGTTTATATGGGAGACAAAAATAATTCAAAACGTTAGGACAGTTTCAAGTAAAAAAGAAGAAAAATCCTTCGGCAAACAAAAAAGCACAGCACAGACAACTAGTTGAACTCACTACTCACCCAATCACATTAAGTCCAACACTAACAACCACATTATAAATCAATAGATCAACCAACCAATACATCCAGGCCAAAGTTGGGGTCAAGTCACAGTCCAAGCTACCCCGTAATAGTGACGTACTGATTTTAAGAGCAGAATGCTACTGAACAAACACCTCAATCATGAAAAATCTGTATGAAAAGTTGCTACCAGAACAATATCTAGGAACTGTCCGGCGCTAATTCTTACCCCTAACTACCTAAGCACATATTGCAAATGACCAAATACTATGGATTACAGAAGCTTGGCACAATTGACCATATACAGAAAATTATGGCAACACCAAAATGTACAATTCTAAGGTAACATTAATAACACTAAGATTGGATTTGGAGCGCAAGAACGCAGGGCAAGGTTGGAGGAAGCAAGCAAGTGAAATTGGAAGTGAAAAAAAAAGGGTAGGTAGTAGGAGCCTTACGGGCTTGGCATTCGTGACGGAGTCCGGCAGGTCGCCGCGGCGGCGGGAGCTGGTGGAGCCGGGGGCCATGCGCCGGGACAGGGAGGCCCCGGCGTCGATGCGGCGCGACATGGAGCCGCCAGCGTCGAGGTGCTGGTGGATGGCCATGGCCAGCGCCTGGCGGTGCAGGAGCTCCTCCTCCGCGGGCGTGAGCTTGGGCCCGCCGCGCGCCGACCGCGCGCTCCCCATCCGCTTGCTGCGCGACACCGCGGCCGCGCCCCGCTGCTCCTTGCGCGGCATGCACGCGAACACGTTGCCCATTGGGGAACGAAATCCGATACAGGGAAACGAGTGTGGGAAGCCGCAAAGCTGCCGCGCGAGATTCAGACAAGACAAGAACGGAGGACTGTGGACTGGGGAGCAAGCAAATCGCGGCAAAGGCGAGCGAGAGCAAAGAAACCAAGGGAAAAGGGAGGAATTTTCAAGCAGGAACTGTGAGCTCTGCTTCAAGAACACGCTTCTCTCTCCACTGTAAGCGGTGGACTCCTCCAGGCAAGGAGAAATCAAATCAGCGCGACTCGACACGAAATCCTCGGGGGTGAAAGAATTCAACCTTTGAAAGGAACAAGTTGACCCCCGGGGAAATGGAAACTCCGACCAGGTCAAGAAACTCCGAGCGGCGAGATTGGGCTCCGGCGACGACGCATGGGTGACCAGAACAGAAACGCTATCCCTGGGTGGGCCGACCTAGCGAATGAATTTCTTCTCGCTGCAAGGGAGAGGCAGCAGAAGCACAGCACGGAGCAGATCTGAAAGAACAGGCGGAATTTATGAGTGGTCCTTGCACCTAACTCGTCTCCACAGGAATCTCGCCGGAGCGATTTATTTCCCTCCCCTGCGCAGCACCTTCCGAACCGAGAAAATTTTTTGATGAAACTGAGGGGCCTGTTAAAAAGAGAAATCTTTGGCCGCCGATGCCCGATGCTAATCAAAAAGGGAAGGGAGTTCAACGCCAAAGCCGCCCGATTGATTGCAGGAAGCTTTTGGGCGGTTTCGCGGTTTCTAGGGATTGTGTCTCTTGCCGTCTTCTACTTTCTAGCGCGGACTATCGTCAAGACGCGCTAGCTGTACACCGCTCTCCAGCCTTTGTTTGTTCTCTTCTGTAGAGAGAACAAAAAAAGATGGTTTCTTTTATGCTGTTACGATTTTATTTTATTTTTTCCACACAAGTTCACTGATTGTCTTGTTTGGTCTGGCTTTTGACCACCACGCTGTCCTTGTCTTCTCCATCTTCTTCAGATAAAGATGAAAGTGGCAGCTCCTTTCCTTTCCCCCTTAAAATAACCTCCCTCCAGTGCTCTTTTCCTCTGGTTTTTCTTCGATTTCTGGGAGGGGATATCCTGGTCTGCCTTTTTTCAGATCCCAGGACCTGCCTGTCACAAATTCTAGCATCAGTCTATCAGCATGCAGCTACATATCTGTAGTCCAGGATTATTATTTTTTTGTTAAATAGCTGATGGAATGCAAAAGATAGTAGGGGTTTTTTTTTTTGAGCAAATGCAAAAGGTAGTAGGTGTGTGTCCCAGATTTAAAGATATGTGGCTGCACATCTGCACGACTGCACCTATGATTTGCTGGGGAAAAAAAAGTGAGAATAGGGCCACCTGATGAACAAGCAGAACGGATCAGCAAGCGCTGTTGGAAGTCAAGCAAGTTACCCTTATCGTCCTTTGCAATTCTTTATTGCGTCGATCGCAGCGTTCAACAACTCCCTCCCATAAATTTGATCCGTTGAAATGACGATGGAACAGTGTGGTGCTGTAGGTGACCGAATCGGTCCTACTTTTTCAACCATAAAACAGTATTTTTCTCTCACAACAAATTAATCCTATAAACCAGCCACAACGACAATAAATTCTATCCAACAGAGTCTCAAGTGAAATTGCTTACATGCTCACGCTGGTGTGCCATTGCCAGGACGGGAGTTACTTGCTCCTTTACTCTTGCGCCGATAGCTGCATCTCTGCATGGCGCTCGCTGCATGCCTGCATGAACTTTACTGATGTATTCTAGTGCTCATCTTGGAGTCCTCTCACACGTCCGTGCAGCTGCAAGGTCCACGGCTTCGCGTCGCGCCCTGCTCGATGGACTCCGGCACGATCCTCCACCGGTACAGAGTCTGGCTCCGACGACTAGACGGACTCCGGATGCGCGGCGCAGTCCCTCTCTCCTCTCGGATGCTCGGCGCGAGGAGACGCGAGTTAATGTCCTCCTGGAGACTTGTTAGCGACGGGTAGGGATGAAAATGGGTCGGATACGGACGGATATCATCGATATTACATTTGTTTTCATATTTCTGTTTGGATTCGGATTCGAATACGGATAATGTCAACTATGTCGGATAGGATACGATTGGATATCGACATCATAAATATGCGATTTGAGTATTCGGATACAGATACGGTATCGGATGTTGAATATCCGGACTCGGATACGGACAGATTTCAACCCCTCTAAACGGATTTGGTTTCGAATACGGTCGGAAAATATCCGTACCGTTTTCATCCCTAGAGACGGGACACGGGAGGGCAGACAAAGAATGGGGGTAAAACCGTCCAAAGCGCTGTAAACGACTTGATTTCTAAAACTAACTAATTAGCCAGAATGACCTGATTTTTAGTACGGAGGGAGTACAGTAGTAACACGAACATGCTCCTGTGGGATACGAAGAATATCAAATCTTGAGGGGTCTAGCTGTTAACGGAAACATCATCTACCATTGAAAACACAACGCTCTTAAATCATGCAATATTCACTCTCACCGGAAGTCGAATCCAGGACCTAAAGTGCTAAGGTTATGGTAACCACCAGACTACGTGTCCTTTTGCCAAATCTTATAAATTTGAACTCATAAGATTTATCAATTTATATGAGGAGCATTAATTGGTGTAGGAAAGGTGAATCAAAGTTATTTATATTCAAATATTATAAGATTTCAGTATGATATATATTGATTATTTTTTTTATCCTATGGGAGTAGGAGAAATGGATGGCCGAAAGCACATATCTAAAGGCTCTCCGAATGAATGCCGTGCTAGAGATGCGTTGACCTTGCTTTGCTGCCATCATATTTTTCCCCCTTTTCCCCTTTTTTCACATGCTTGTTGTTGTTGAGTTGATCTGCCCTGACATTTTTTAGATCTTGAGACGCGATGAGGTGTACGTAGTCAACTAGTAGTATATTAGTACTCCTACAGCACATGTGTCATGTCATTGGCCCTGTTAGCTATCAGCCTACTTTTTTAACCATGAAATAATGTTTTCCTCTCACAACAAATTAGCTCTATAAATCAATCGTAGCAATAATAAATCCTGCCGAACAGGGCCAAAGGCATGCCTGGCTGAATCCTCGGTATGTTAGTTAAGAAAGAAAAGAAAATACGGTGTTGTGTAGTAGTTAGTCACAACTCACAACAAGGTGATGTGTAGCGGTTGCCCTGGAGTTGTACATATATATGCCGTAGTGCAGTGTTCCCGTTTTGTTCTCTTTGAACAGAACCTACCAAACTAATCCACTCCTCACCGAGGGTATTAGTGGTGGCTAATGAGAAAGGGACACACGACATGAAGAGATCGGAGCTCACTATGGCCTTCCCCAGTGGGTGGTGATGTCGGAGGGGGGAAAAAAGGTCCCACAACAAAAACAGCTGGCATCGACTGCGATCTCCATGACGACGACTCCACCATCAAGAGCGGCAAGGTGCTCTGCTGCCATGTACTTCTCAATCTGTTGGTCCATCTCGCGGGATTTTTGGTATCAATAGTTGGGATGGGCAAACAAAAACGGGTTTTTTATGCTTTGGGCACCGACACTTGAACTTACGCTGCTCTCAACTTTCATGGCATCACTACAAGATTAGCATCACCTGCCACAGCCTGCAGATCGAGTGATGCCCTGATGTTCTCTTTCTTGTTTGGACATCAGTTCAAGCACATGCATGCTGTGGAGAGCCTAAGTTCCAAGGGAGAATTTAACCTTTCACAACTAGTTCAATACATACAACGTGCACTCGAGAGGCGCGGTCCTTGCCGACATGGCCTCATCCTACTTTCACAACGACACAGTGGCAGGGAGCCGGCAGAGGCGCAACGGGCTTGTCGGACCATTGGGCCAACCTAGCCTAGCTAATCCCTTGTAGGGTCATGCCTGGGTCGAAGGCATGGCATGACGGTAATAGGATCATGCCTTAACAACATGGTTCAGGCCGTGTTGCCCGTTTGGCCATTTATATATAATTGGTGGCGAAGACCGAGGAGAGACATCCTCTTGGTGTGTTGCCGATGCCAAGAGGTTGAAGGCGCTCTAAAATTTTCTTCTTTAAGGGTACATGGTTGTTTTATTATTATTATCATTATCATTATTATTATTATTATTATTATTATTATTATTATTATTATTATTATTATTATTATTATTTTGTTGGACTTGTAGGCTTAGCCCAATTTCCTCTATCTATTTAATATAAACGGCATGTCCTGTCTGTTCACTTAAAAAAGATGGTAGAAATTGGAAGAGAGAGATTGTTGAGATTGCTACAATCTGGATATATAAACTGTTAAAAGCATGGGCAGGTATATTTTGTTTGGATGAATTAGAGCTTTTAAAAGCTACTAGCTCCGGAAGAGTCATCGTACTACTGCTATCATGAGAGCGGGGATGCAACGGCACGTACATATAGCAAAAGTGCAAGCGATACGTTTTTTCTTGTGTGACTCACCAATAATGCAAACTATGCAAGTGATCAGAACAAACACTCAAGCAGCAACAAATAATGCATGCATTATATTTGATTTGATGTATAGCGACGTTGGCGATGGCAGTACCGTCGGCCACACAGTGCATACATAAACTGTATGGACTTGAAGAGATGGAGTACACCAAACGCTTCAACTACTAACAACCTGCATCGATCTTTATACTAACAACCTGCACCTTTATACTCCTACATGAGCCAGTAGGAAGGAGTGGTTCGTGAGCATGCATGCACGGACGGATCGGCCGGTCCAACACGCTCGCTCCAACTATTTCTGTAGTATTTTTTAGCGAACGAACATATTCATCGAATACCCTGATCTGCCCTGTCGTTCTGCTACAGTAGGTGAGAGAGACGTACGTACGTAGGTACTGGTACTGTTGTTCCTGCAGATCCAACTGCTTTTGCTTTTAATTTAAGTATGTTCACAGCTAGCTAGCTTGCCGCTTGCCAGCGTCTGGTCCAGCATCTGATCCATCCGCCATCCGTTGCAGCAGTTACAGTTAG